TAATGTACATCGACCATGTGGTCAAATATGGTTATTTATTTATCTAACTAGAGTGAACCACTATTAGTAATAAAGAAAAAAAGAGAAAGAGAGAGAGAGAGAGAGAGAGAAAGACTGTATTTGTTCAAGCTTTATAAGAAGAAAGTCAATTATAGGTGATGGTGATGAAGGGCAAGAAAAGAAAAGAAAAAAAAATCTTTCTGTATGTATGTATATAATTGCATGAATATAATATCTGGAAAAAAAAGTAATATGAAAATGGACGAAAGAATTACCATATGATGACATTCTATGACGAACCTTTTTTCTCACCAATTAGTAGAATGAGGTTAAACAGACGGAAGTGTACATTAATGCTTGTGGCTCTAGGCATGCAGAAGCTCACAAATCAGAGAAAAAAACAAAGTCTTTAAATAAAGCTTATGTCTGAGTCCACTGGACAAAATGGTTATTGATAATCGACAAATATGAAATTCATTGAACAACAAAAGAGTTATTTTATTCATTAAAATAAAATAAAACAAAACAAAAAACCTCTACTCTTTCGTATAAATAATATTCAATATAATGAAATTTAAATAATAATTTAATAGATGAATTCATTTCAATAGATCATTTGCATTTTATTTATTAATTCTCATAGTGAATACAAAAGATTTATTGAGAAGAAAAAAAATTGTTAGACAAGGATAATCTAATAAAGATTAAAAAAAACCTAATCTTTTAAGAATTTTGTTTTTTAATTATAGGTACAAAAGAAAAGACATATGACTACGTAACATACCTAATCGAACGAAACTAATGTGTAAACTTTACATTGCTAAAAGAACAGTAAAAAGAAAAAGGTTTTCTATTCGTCCTTCATCGTTTTATAGAAGTGCAATATTAAAAAAAACATTGTAAAATATGACGAAGAAGGACAAGCAACTGTTTGTCATCAATCGCTAAAAATAACAAGAAAAGACTAACTGAATATCTAATTTTGATTACCTCAGGATCTTTCACCTTTTTTTTTTTCTTTCTTCATCTAGTGACATATATATATATATATATATATATATATACGTATATTCTCATTAGAATTCAATAATGTGATGTGAGGCAATAGAAGAATTGCATAATCAATTGATCGGAACAGAAATAAAAGAGGAGTTGACAGTCTCGTCTGATGACATTCTTTGAACTCAACATTGAACGATTATATTCTTTCACAAATAGAAGCAAAAAAAATCAATTACTTTTTTTCTTTTCATCGGTCCCATCTCACATACTTTCATCATTAAACAATCAAACAATTTAAATAGATGATCTACAGTTTAAATCTCTAGAAACATAATAATGAACATTAATAATAATGAAACATCATCATCATTATCATCATCATCATCATTGTTGTTTATTGTTTATTGTTTAATATGTCTTGTTTTTCGTTTACTTTTTTATTTCTCAATACTTAATCAGTTGTCAGAGATTATATATACACAGGGGCGTTAATAGGGTGGGGCGTAACACCCCCTGCTTCTGAAATTCTCTATGGCAGCGCCTCCCCCCTCCCTCCTACTTTTAAAATTTGAGCATGTAACCCCCTAATACTAGTGCTTGTCGATGTTACGACACCCCCTGCCTTCAGTACCGACTTACGCCCCTGTATATAGATAAGTGAAATAAATAAATGAATGAATAACTGTAAAGTTATTTAAAAATAAATATCTTATTAAATATATCTGATATAAGAGAAAGAAAAATTGTCAAATGAAATAAATCGATATAAAAGTATGTTAAATAAAAAAAAATGTTTGTCAATCAAATAATTGTACTCACTATATTTATGTTTGTATAGATAAATAAATAGGTAATCAGTTAGTATGGCTTGTTTATAGATAAATAAGAGTTGGTTGGAGTTAGTGTTACTGTTTTAAGAAGGACGTGTCAATGATAATGTCTTTTTCTTCTTGTTGTTCTTATTTTTCTTCCCTACTGTCTCTTATCCTTTTCTTTTCCTCTTGTTATCAGCATCCTTCTTCTTTTAGCAGACATCATCAATATCATTGCCGTTTTCATTTCTTGTTCGTTTATTGTTGTTGTTGTTGTTGTTGTTGTTGTTGGTTGTTGTTCTACTATAGAACAACTTTTCTTCTTATTCTTCTTATTATTCTTATTCTTATTTAAGATAAAAAAAGAAAAGAAAAAAAAGTCAACATGTCATATTATGACATAGACAGACAACAAAAAGACATATCATTTTCAAGAACAGTTACAAAGAAAAACCGAAAATAATTAAATATGTTGTTTTACATATTTGAAAGAAGATTTATTCTATTCTAGGATATATTTTTATGTTTTATAGAAAAAGAAAAAAAGAAAAAAATGATTTTATTTAAAGTAAATAGATTGTTTGACAATATCTATCTTATAATAAATATAAATCATATTGATTTGATTGTTTTCATAGAATAGTTCCATAATATGTTGGTTAGTTATATAAATGAGATAAAAATGTTTTGTTTTTTTTCTCATATAATAAAAGTGTCAAATGTTAAGTATAATTTTCTCTAAAAGAATATTCTTTCATCATTAAAGATAAAATAAAAAGCGAACGAAAATTTTAAAGTTAATCAGTTGAATTATATTGAAATAAATCTAAATATATTTAATTAATAAATATTATTTATTAATAAGAAATTTAATTTTCACCAATAAAAAATAATAATATTCTATTTATCATATTTAGTTAAAATAAATAAAATAGAATTATTTTTTAAATTCAATCGAAACAAAATTAATTCTAAATAGTTAACATATTTATTTGTGAAAAATAAATAAAGATTGAAATAAATTCTTCTTTTTATTTTTTTAAATTGTTAAATAATTTTCATTGTATATTTAACAATAAAATGAAAAAAGAATTTCAAAATAAATATTGAATATTTCTATGAAGGTCAATCAAAGAATAAGACAATATAAATAAGATATGAAAATAAAGATTAATTCTTCACGGATCTATAAAAAATTATTTTTACAATTAATATTTTCTATAAAATATAAAATATAATCATATATCTGTATATATATATAAATAACTAAAATCATTTAAATAAATTGACAAATATTTGACAATATTCAATTTCAATTTGTTTTTCTTTTATTAAGAATTTATGTTATATTTTCATCCGTAGAAAAAATCTCGACCTTGAACTTGAATAAACTACAATTGATAAAATCTACTGAATTTTTCCGAATATGTTCAGGTATAAGTGAAGAAACTATGATAAAATTGTTTAACTCTATATAATGACAATTTTCTATGAATCTTCATTTGTATCTTGTTTATTTTGTTTAATTTGAAAAAAAAATGTTAACATGTAAAAAAAGAAACTCTCTCGAATTATAAAAGTAATCTTTTATATAAAACAATGTGTTTCAAAAGTTCACCGTGAAAAAAAACGGGTAAATAAATTTTAAATAGTTAAATTAATTTCTATAATTTGTTTTCAATATAATTATTTGTTGTTTGAAGTTTGAAGTTTTTCTATAATTTAGTTAATAAAAAAAAAAAATATTGAAAAATAATTGAGATGATTTTTAATATTTAAATTAATTGTTTATGAATATATTTAAAAAACTATTCAACAAATTAATAATCGAATTAATTTATTCGATTGTTTATTTTCTTTTTTAATATAAGTCTTATTAAAATATTTTTCTTCATTTGAATATATTGATAAATGATTTTAATGAAAAATGTTTTTGTCGATAGAAAAAATAAATTTTTCTTTATCAATCTTTTTCGTCAATTTATTCGATAGATTTTATTTTTCATCAACACACTTTATCAGAATAATATATTCATGAGTCATTATTATCTATGTTATTATTCTCCGAATGAAATTTACTTTTAGAACAGTTTAAATATTTAATAGTGGATCATTTTCAAAAACTATGATCAACTTTTTTATTGGTTTTGTTTTCTTCTCTAATATTTAAAAATCTTTCATATCTTTATAGATTTTATATTCTGTAAGCATAGAAATTCATTAGAAAATAAAACTTCAATGAACATACAATCATTATATTCAAAATAATAATTTAAACAACTTCAACTGACCAAAACAAAAAATATTCTTCCTAATTTTGACGGTGAATTTTTGAAAGAGTTTCTAGTAATAAAGATTTATTCGAAGATGAGAAATGTCCTACATTTTTATATGGAGTTTCAAACAAAAAAATACTAACATATACAATGAACGCCTACATAGAATTCTGACTTGCATAATTATAAAAAAAACATATTTTTTAGAGAGAATATCAAAGAATTTTTTTGAATAAATGAGCTGCTAAATAAAAAAGAAAAACAAAATCATGTCGTATATGAAAGATCAGATATGAAATTATATTTGATTTCGATTATTTTTGACGAAAATTGAATAGTTTTTTTGAGGTAAGAAAGATTTAAAACATTGTAGATTGAGAGTTTATTTTCTCTATTCAATGAAAACATTTTTTATTTTAAAGTTCATTTAAAAGTTTTCTTTTCTTTATCGAAATTGACTTTATCATTTATTATTTATAAAAGTAAATTAATTTGAATTAATTGAAAAGTAAAATTTATCGTTAGAAAAGAAAAGAAAAGAAAAGAAAAGAAAAGAAAAGAAAATCTAGATAAATAATAATATATATATTAACGATGAAATTTGTATTGAAACGATTTGTTTAAACGACATAGTCTATATATAAATGATTGATTTAAATAATCGAATTGAAGCCTAGATTAAGATAAATAATGGACGAGAATAATTCAAATCAGACGATTAAATAACATGAAGATAAAAACAAATAAATCAAGACATGTATATAAAGACATGAAAATATGTTCATTCATTTGATTATTTCTATCTATTAACGTCAATTCAGATATTTGTTCGTTACCCTTTTAATTTAAATAATAAAAGAGAAAAAGAAAAAGAAAAAGAAAAAAAACGATTATGTCAAAAAGCAAAACAATGAAATTAAATAAAAAACCAAAAGATCCAAAAGCACCTAAACGTTATCGATCAGCTTATATATTATTTTCCATTGAAAAACGTCATCAAATAAAAGTAATTTCCATTTTTTAATGATGAAAATAAAAAAAAATTTTTATTTATTTTAGAATGAAAATCCTGGTTTATCTTCAAAAGAAATTTTATCAGAACTTGGTGCTCTATGGAAATCAACTGATTCACAAGTATTTTTTTTTAATTTTAATTTTAATTTTAATTTTAATTAATTTATAATTTAGACAAAAGAACATTTTAAAAAATTATCGGATGCTGAAAAAGTTGAATATGAAGAAAAATTTAATGCATATAAAAATGATCAAACAAATAATAAAGAAAATTCTAAAAAGAATAAATCAATTAATAATCAATCAATGGAAGTTAATTCATCAGAATAAACTATTTTTTTTGTTTTTTTTTTGTTTAAATACTTAACTATTTTGTTTTGTTGTTAACTTATGTTTATTTTTTATTTTTATTTTTTATTATATATTTATGAACTTTATTCGATTTATTTAATCAAATTAAATTAGGAATATTTCAAATATTGAAATAATCAATTAAGTTTATTTTTAACAAATATTTTAACTTTTTATCGTTATTATTAAATAACGAATATATATATATTTTATTTAATGATTATTATCATAAGTTAATGATTAATCATATTCTTCTAACGATGAAACTGTTTTCAAGTATTTCATATGTTTCAATTTCAAACTATTGATTACATATAGAAAATCCATAGACTAGAAATAATTCAATATTATATTTATCGATCGATGTTCTTATTTGACTGAAATAGATAAATTTTACTAAAATATTTCTTTAAGATTCAGTTTTTCAAGTTAATTCATATTTCGAACTTTAAACATATGAAGATTACAATTTTAATTGATTATAAAAAATATTTTAGAACTATTTCACGTATCATAAACGATATATAGGAATTTTTCAAAAAAACATTAACATTTTATAAAATCGTATATATTTTCATAGTTCATATATAAATAATGTTACATTACATTGAATAGTTGTGAACATTTTTCTATAATCTATTATATTTATTATTTGAATATAAATTAAGTTTGAAAGTATAATTTAGTTTAAATAAGAGAATTTTTCCAGGTATGTTTTAGTAAAACTTGTGTCGATTTTAGTCAAATAAAAAAATAAATCAATATTATATTGACACTTTTCATAGTCTATAGATCTGAGATACATTATTAAAATATATGCGAGAAAAATACATGAATAAATTCAAAGGATTCTATTGTAAGATTAGAATTTTCATATAGAATAAGCTGTCGAGTTCTCTAAATTAATTATATTGAACGATAATGTTTTTATTTGTGTTTTCTTTCTACTATAGTGACGTTATTTGATTATGGTTTGTTACGTAGTTTGTCAAACCAATATCAGTTTAGATTTGATTTAGTTCTTTGTTAAAATAATTTACATCAACAGATCGATGTCACTTTATCTAATCTCTTTTCTATGAAACAGTCGAATGTCAATTACCCGATTTCTTCAATAGAATATGATGAAATTCTAAACGTGTTAAACTTTCGACTTTGTTTTTTTTTTTTTGGTGATTATTAGACTTTATTTTAATATATATATGTCCAATCATTTTCATAATAAAGAAATTCCATTATTCTATTATGACAAATGAAACATATCTGAATATGACATAAGGCAAAAAGAAATGAGTTCCATTAAAGTAGATTAAAACGTGATTAGAATAACATATCAATAATAATAATAATTTTATTTTCGATTAGTTAAGTCAGATAAGTCGTATTTTATAGATGATAATCCTGTTATTTTATTTAATGATAAATTAATTTTTCCAAAAATTCAAGGGGGAAATAACTGACATTTAGATCATTTAGATCATTTAAATCGTGAAAGTCATTCAAAGTCATCAATAACTCAGTATATTTGAAAGAGGATGTTAGTAAATATTCATCTAGAATCTGTTCACATGTTAACATATCAATATACGCTTCAATCGTGATACAAAAACAATGATTTAACCAAAACACGCATGGAATATAAATATTATTCATTTCAAAAACAAGGACGAGTGGGTATTTTTCGAATAACTTTTGATAGAAGCAAGGCAATGAGGTGCGGTTTTCACCATCAGAAAGAGAAGATCCAGGAGTATCAACATATGCTAAAATCCGATTGGTCAACAATGAACGAATCGGATGCATTTTCGAGGGACATGTTGAGAACGGTACCTTGGACCCATTTCGTAACTTGACTCAATTATTAATTCACATTTGTGGTAGAAAAATTGTCCTCTTTCGATCTATGCATGACAACCATTCTAGCTTGTTTGGTTCAAGAGATACAAGGATTTTTCTGAGACCACTGATTTCAGCCAATTAACTGTGAACCATCCAGAAAACATTTTGGAATAGGGTAACTCACAAAGAGGAAACCAATGAATTTATGACGTAAATAATTTAAATGACCTTTTTTGACTTAAGGCGGTCCCCCTCGGAAACGAACTTTGTTATTTTTCGTCCGATTTCAACCAAATCTTGGGCAAATATTAGTTTAAGCTAGGATAGATTATGGTTCAAATATCTCCCCTAAACCTCCAATATACTAACGAGGTATAGTCAAGTTATTGGTCAAAAGTACCCTGCACGCGGGCAAGCTTTTCGCAATCAGAATACGAGCTAACATGCCGGGGCGTTTTTTAAGTTGTAGAGTACCCTTAGGGCTAGATCCTCACAGAGCCCGATTTTTGAAATTCTCTTTGTTTGTTTTTTAAAAAATCTTTGCCCAAAAATTCTTGAATTCATGATCAAAAAAATCACTGCTAAAAATGAAATATGTAAGTTTTTTGTTTCGTCAATAGAGATATTCAAAAATCAGACGCTGTAAGAATCCAGTCCTAACTGTCCTCTATACAATAAAAAAAATTATCACTTCTATTGAGTCGTTATTAAAAAAACCTTGTCCACGTAAACGTATGCTCGAAAAAAATTGATTTTGAGAAAAAACGGATAAGAAGCTTTTAAAAACCTAATTTTTTTCAATATGGGGATTCAGAAAAACCTATGTAATATCCTTAAATCTCATGATAAAATCAATCAATGATAGTGCATTCGAGAGTAGACATTTTGCTCTATCTAATGAGTTATCAATCACAAAATCGATAAATTTGACCAAAATTGACTTTTCTGGGGGGAGGCTTAAATGATCTGAAAGATCGAAAATCATTATTGTTTTGCATCATGTATCTTGCTTTACATCACATTATTACTTGAGATTTCTACATTTTATATTGANTCGTCGCAAATATTAAAAATCGATTCGAATCTTGGTTTCCTGAGTCGTATTGTAAAAATTGTTCTTTTTTCTTTGTGAGAGTAGATGAACCGGTTATTTGTATTTCTGACATTGATCGAGGATTTGCTGAAAAATTTAGATTTGCAGCACGTTGTCGACAGACGGTGCGCTTCAAGTTGTTGATAGGCGGAAGCTGGCTTAACACTGCAGTAGATGCTGTGGCAATTGATGTAGCAACAATAGAATGCGTGGTGGTTGTTGTTTTAGTCAGATTACGAATTTCAGACCGATATTGACGAATTCCACTTACGCTCGGATTGGGCGCATGATTGTGATCGCCAACTCGATGACAAATTGTGTTATTAGTTGTATGTAATCTAGCTTTACATTTTTGTTTGTTGCATTGCGTGCATTGCCAGTATACTTTATTTTCGTAAGTACGTTCTTCAATGTAATCAAAACCGTTCTCGATCAGAACAGGCTTACCCTTCTCGGTTTTACAGAAAGAAATTGACATGATGTATTCGTATTTTTGATATGATCTAGACGGTGGTGAATTATGAATAATTGTATATGCATAACGACTTCTCATTCTCCGCAGTTTAAATACTTTCAAGGATAATTGATCCTTTTCATATGCTCTGTTTTATCCTTAGTAATCATCACAAATTTAATTAATCAATGTGCACACACCGTCTGTTCTCATAATTGTCTTACACACTTTTATCTTACACACAATCGTCACAGACCCCTACGTATCGACCGTAGCTTTCTATCTATGTTACAACATACTTGTCTTTCGAGGGTTAAAGCTCAGTGATAATCTCGCTGAGTCGTCATGGACTCGAAATCAAGGAAAATAGTACTGCTTGAGAAGTTCCTAGAAAGTGACTCCCCAGGGAGCACGCCTTTTTCTCCCCACTCCGTAAAGTGTGGAGATTCCCTGAAATATTCCCGGGAAATCCCTTGTTTTTAGGAGCTCTTCGTGGATTTTTGGGGATTCCCTGGTAATTCAGCGGAGATTTTACATTTTTTCGGGGACCTCTAGGGGATTCTCGACTAGGGCATGCATTTCCTGGTTACCGGGTAGTCGTATTAACCACTGTACTTGAAAGGGTATCTTCTCACTGTCTTACGACCGGATGGGAGGAATCCAATCGGAACATCTTGGCTTTTTCTTTAAGTATTATTTTCAAGTTACATTAATATAAAACTTTTGACTCATATAAATATTTTCCACATATACATTCAGATTTTGATTGATTTTAATTAACAGGATAATGATAACGATGATAAACTTTTGACTTCACTTAAATATGCATGTTAGATATATTATTCTATAGTAAACAAGTTTCGTGCATTACGACGAGAAGTACGGAAGAGTAGAAAAAAAGGAAAAGCAATGACGATAATAAATGAACTGCACAACTAGACTTCTGCGTGACTACGATTTTTCAGTCACGTCACGTCACGGTCACGAGCTGCTGGTCACGATCACGTTCATAGTCACGAAAATTTTTCGAAACTAGTCACGATCATGGTCATGAAAGACCGTGACCGTGACCATTTTGCAGAAGTCGATCTACAACACAATGAAAACAGTGGGAAGCATTTATTTTATCGTCGATCTTCATCATGTTTCAGTTCGAATTATCAAAAAAAAAAAAAAAAAAAACAAAAATTCAACACTTAATAGAAAAACGAACAGAAATATACCATTGAAAGATCCCATAAAAAGAGATCACACTATGTGTGATTACTATATCGTTTATCGGACAGAGATATTTTATTTGCATGATCATGACGGCTAGAAATAGTTGGAAGAGATGAAGAGGAATTCTTTGAATGATTTTTATGAATCATCATTAAAGCAGTTGTTGTGGAAGAAGGTGGAGTTTTACTAAGAGTTGGCGTTATATGACCACTGGAAGGTGGTGTTGGAGTAGACGGAGAAGGAAAAGCACCAACCACAAGTGAATTATTAGATATTGTTCGTTTGTGTGTTAATTTAGGGGACGATAATAAATCAGCTTGAGACTGAGAACGACCAAATTGAATGTTATTTGTCCGCAATTTCGATAATGTTGTTGACGATGGAGGAACAGATGGAGTATTCGATTTTTGGCGTGATTGATTAGAATCAGTCAAATTCAATGTCTATAACATGTAAATATAATTAGATATTTGGAAGTATTTGAAAAAGTATATTACTCTTTCATTCTGTTTAATTCGTACATGAATATTAGATGAAGTAACATTTGATTCATGTGCGACATTGTTTGAACGTCTCGGTGTCTATGATAAAGAAATTTATTAAAAAATATAAAGAAAAATAAAAAGCCAAAGAATTTCCTTCATTTGTCAATTGAAAAACAATGTAAAAAAAATAACCTTAAGAGTATCAGATGTAAATCTATTTGTTTTAACATTTAATTTAGTTCGATCAGCAGTTGATCGTCGTTCTGGTGTATTAGCTTTAATTTGATTTGATGTTGGTTTTATTTGATGATTAGCATGATTTTGTTTAGTTGGAGTTGAAGGTAATAGTGTTTCCGATTGATCATTTGATGATGATTGCAATATTATCTCATTACTACTTGCATTTAATAATGTTGTAGGATTGTTTTCTGACATTGTTCGACGTCGTTCATTTTCAGCTTGAAATTCTTTCATCATTGTTATTATATCTTTAGCTGGTCCTTTATCTGATCGACCCTAAATATAATAAGAAAAGAAATAAGAAAAGAAAACAACGATCTTTTTATTGAAATCTACCGTTAACCATGGATGTACAGTTAATTCACCCATCGTTCGACGATGAACTGTATCATAAACAAGCATTCCTTGTAAAAAATCAAGTCCTATTAATGAAAAATATAAATTAATCAAAATAAAGAGATTTTTTCCATAGAATAATAAAAAAACCTTCTGAAGATAAATTTTTAAATTTTTCAGAATCATATCGAAGTTTTTGCGAACGAATTATTTCAAGTAAACGTCTTTCATCATTAGCAACATAAGGATGACGACCACAAATTCTATTTTTATTATTATAAAGCAATATTGATCAAATAAAATTTGAAGACTTACAAATAATACATTATAATTCCTAAAGCCCATACATCACAAAGAGCACTATAATTTTTGTTGTCGAGTATTTCTGGTGCCATATAACTATTCAAAATAGATAATTACTAATCTTGTTTTATATTTTATAAAAATCAATATCTTACAGTGGCGTTCCACAATAATCGTTAAAAAGTGAATCAGTATTAGTAATACTCTTTTTTGAACTTAAGCCAAAATCAGTAACCTTTATTATTTTTTTAAATATATTATATAAATTATTTTAGATAAAAACAAAGATAACATACTCGAATATCAAATTCATCTGTTTTACTTTTTGGAGTATTTTTTAATAAAATATTTTCTAATTTAAGATCACGATGTACAATATCTATAGAAAATAGAAAAAATATAGAAAAATAAATAAATAATAAAAGAAAATTGAGCTTAACCCATTTTATGAAGATAATACAAAGCACTGACTAATTTCGACATAATTTGTTTAACAGTTTCTTCTGGTAATGGACCAATTTTTTTTAGATGCATACCTAATTCACCACCTTCACATAATTCAACGATTAAATAAAGATTCTAAAATCAAAACTTTTCCATTGATAACTCATTCTATTTGAACCGAACAAAATAGATTGTGATTTTTTTTCTTTCAATATGAAATGAGTCATAAATGAGGAAAAACTAAATAACCTGAGATGATTCAAGTACTTCATGAAGTTGAATTAGATTCGGATGATTAACTTCTTTTAATAATTTAACTTCATTATCAAGACTTGACGCTTTAAATTTATTTCCAGGCTAAAGCAAAAAAAATTTAAATTAACAAAAATAAATGAAAATTTTTACTTTTTTAGCAATTGTTTTCATAGCATAAAATAAATTTGTTTCTTTATTTTTAACACGATAAACAGTTCCAAATGAACCTTCACCTAATTTATTTGCAACATCGTATTTTGTTTCGAGTATTCCATCATCATAAAGACGTGTGTGAGTTATCTGACGAGTGGATAAAATGGAAAATGGTTTATTTGTTCCTTTTGCCATTATACCAAGATAGACGGTCAAAAGCACTAAAACAAGTAAAAAAAAAAACTAAGAAATTCTAACTTATTTAAACCTTTACTAACAACGTCTTTGATGACGAATGATAACAATAGTAAAGGATGTTTGACGACCAAAACATTCATTAACTTCTCCTAGGTAAATAAAAATAAAAGAAACCTTACGGCTTGAAATTCTCTTTAATAAAGGAAAAAAAAAGAACTTCAATTGGTCACAACCATCGAACAATTCTTTTCTACGGCAAAACAAAAAAATTTCTTTTTCTAACTCAAACCGCCGTCATTCTTACAAATAATCATCGTTCGCATAGTAAAGTGTAAGAAAAAGCTGTGAATTTATGTGCGTATTAGTACCTCTGCTTTGCTCAAACACATAAATTCACAGAGAAATATTTCTCACGAAACCAACTATAATAAGCATTTTGTTTTTCTTTTAAAGTAAAGAAAAGTAATGGTATTGCTCACTTCAAACTATGAAAATGTTATTCAAAGTCTCAATGTTGAAATTGGCATACTCTAATTGATGTACTCGACAATGAAACAAATATGTAATCGGATATTCATAGCGATGTCAAATTTCTCTTCGTTTTTTTTTTAAATCAAAATATTTTCCTTTCATATTACACTAATGAGAAATTTTATTTTATTTGACGCTTTTCTGGTTTAATGTAATCATTTCACTCGATCTCTTGCATCTCATTTATGATGAAATAAAAATTATTTGACTAAGATGATATCAGTATTCTGATATATATCTTTTTTTTATTACGAAATATTTTTTATGATTTGTTTATCTATGAAAATAATAATGGTGTTCGAACTTTTTTGTTAACATATCAATTTCTAAGTACGTCATCAAAGGCTGCTAAACAGATTATGTTAAAGATAATATTAAAAGATATCAACTGTCTTGATTTCAAACGCATTCACCTTTTTGTACTCTGATAGATAAACTAACTTCGTTAACGAATAAATATTGGTTTAAATTTTGATATATGATAGAAAAGTGCATATATATTTGAGCATTACCTTTCGTCACCGTATCAAAAAAATAAATTTTGAAAAAGTCTGATAAATGAAAAGAATTGTAATATATGAAAATGTGCGTATAGACGTCAATATCTATGTTATGGCATTTTATTCCATTAAAATTCCCACAAGTGTCGATCCGCTCAATCGTTGTTATTGTTACTTTTCATTACATTATTTTCCTGTTGACACACGACAGCAAACCCACCGACAATTTCCGTTTGATCGATCGATCTGAGAGAAAGAAAAAAAAAAGACGTATGTTAAAAGGTTTCATAATTCAAACATAACCTCCATACATATACATTAATCATCATCACCATTGCATATGTTTTTTTCCTTTTTGTTACCTTAGTTTTATGTTTTGAAAAGTTCGATTCATAAATATGAGAAAAAATTAGTTCATTGATATGTCTAAAAACTTATTTTTTCAGCAGTCAATATTATTATTTATATTGTGAACATTGTAGATGTCACTTTTTCTTTAAGGTTCATTAAAACTATTTTTTTAAATTTCTCATCAAGAATTATTAATATTCAGAAGAAATTTTTGAATGAAAGTATCTTGCTGAAATTCGATATAAATATAAAATGATGAGTTATGAAATCCCTATTGGTTAGTTATATCTATGTTGCATAAAAAAAGCAAACAAGCAAACGGAGGATTTAAATTAGTAGTTTCTAAAAAATAAAAATTTAGTATCAAGATGAGTTGTGATGTTGATGGTCTTCTTGAATTTCTTCTTTATGTTGGTCAAGCAAAACGAACATTTCGTACAGGTTGGGTGTTACATGGTGTTGAAAAAGTTGAAAGTGTAGCTGATCATATGTATCGAATGGCTGTGATGTCACTTTTATTACCAACTGTATCAGAAGAATCAAAAGTTCGTTGTATGAAATTAGCACTTGTACACGATTTAGCTGAATCAGTTGTGGGAGATTTAACGGAATTTGATGGAATACCTAAAAGTGAAAAACATCGAAGAGAAAGTGAAGCTATGCTTTATTTAACAAGTTTATTACCAGCAGATGTTGGAAGAGAAATATTTTCTCTTTTTAATGAATATGCTGATCAAAAAACAAATGAAGCAAATCTTGTTAAAGATTTAGATATATTTGATATGCTTTTACAAGGTAAATTAAAAACAAATTGATTGAATTTTTATTAAACAAAGTTTATTGTTTAGCTTATGAATATGAAAAACTTCAATGTGAAGATGCATTTTTAGAAGATTTTTTTGATAGTTCGGTTAATAAAATAAAAACGGATATTGTTCGAAAATGGCTTAAGCAATTAGTAGAATGTCGATCATCAGGAAAACTATTTCAATTACCATCTGATTCGAATCTTAATACAATTCTTAAACATATTCTTTATGATGATCAAGGTTTGTGCTTTTGTTTTCATTAAAGAGAAACAAGAAAAACAAACAGAATTTATTTTTTATTTTAATGAATAGGAACATTCTTATATAAACTTCCATCATCTAATATTCGTGAAAAGACAAATCGTTTTATTTCTAATCAAAATAAAATCGATAATCCATCATTAGATACAACGGAACTTTTGACAAATCTTGTCAAAGATATAAAACATCAACATTAATTAAACATTTAACTTTTAAAATAGTTTACAAACAAAAAATTTATTAATTAGAATTTTAAATTGGTTTTTTGCTTTTTTTAATTTGTTTTTGCTCATATTGACAGTTAGTGATGGGTGTCTATATTATCATTACATATTGTTCTATTGTACAGTATTATTTTCTTTTTATTTCCATTTTGTGCATAATAATAAAAAAGCATAAATGTAAACGCTTTTAACTCTATATTTTAGATTTTAAGTTTTTTTTTTTTAATAAAACATAACTTAATTAATTTGAATGTATAATAAACGATTATTTGTAAAAATTTGAATTCAACGATTCAATCTTCTAATATTGTAAATAAGCAACATGATCGAAGAGAAAAAGATTTATCAAAATTTACTAATGAAAATAATTAGTCAATTAAAAATAATACATCATTATCATTACAATCATTTGTAAATGATATTCCATTTGAATTTAATTCAAAATATCGAACTATTATTGTTGTAAGTCTTTTTTTTTACGAAAAAAGAATTCGTTCTATCTTTTATTTCATTTTAAGTCTAATAGAGATATTCCTGAATATGATAATACCAGTAAAATTCATGATATTCTTTCAAAACTGGTAATTTTTAAAATGCTTTCAATTTCAAAATAAGATTTATTTGAAATCTAAATTCATTTCACATTAGAAAACAAAGTTTTGTTAGAAACATTAGAAGATTTGAAACGTTAAATAAAAAGAAATTCAAGTAGATATTTTACGGGAACAAACATCATCGTCAATAACAAATACTGCTAAGTTCGATTATATTAAAACAATGTTATTAAAATAAAGAAAAAATTTTCTTTTTTTGATTTAGTTGTCAATTGTCAGATTCTTCATGTGTATCAACAAATATTCTCTCTGTAAATCATCCCTCATCTTCTTCACATCGTAGTTTATTATCAAAAATTGATCATAAATCAGTTATTGATACTTTTATTCCACTAAAAATTGTTTCTTCTTATTCATCTTCATTTTGTTTGACTTCTGTACGTGATATATATTGGTCATATAATAATCAACAAGAATATAATATTCCAATGTCAATTAATTCAAGTAAATTATCATCGAATCCAGTCAAACAATCAAATAATTCATTTAATAATTGTAATTCAATATACAAAAATGATTTAGCAGCTATATTTGATGAATCATTAACTTTTGATGATTCATTTCATGATGCAGAACTTAAATTATTTATATTCAGTCATTGGATTAACTAATACTATTCAACGATAGATTAAAAATTTTATTTTTTTTTTTCTTTATCTTTCTTTTTGATTTATTTAAAATCAATCAATAAAAATCTGTTTGAAAAATTCTATATCCATGTTAATATATTTTAAATTATAATTATAGAAAACGAAGAGAAGAAGAAGAAGAAACAGATAATTATAGGAGAAAAACAATATGCAAACATATATACAAATGCAATTGACTATGAAGAATGTTATCAAAAAAAAGATAAATTGATCATGTGATGGTATGTAAATCATATAGGAATATTTTCTAATTAATGTTCTTTAATGAAATGTATCATTATGACATTTCATATTAATCATATTTTTAAGAAAGTTTGTCATAGAATATTATTAAAACTAATCTACCATGATAAGACAATTCAGTTTTTGAATAATTTCTTTTCTAAAATATCGTTTGAAACCTCCGAATATGTACAAGAAAGACTAAAATATAATACAATTGTTACTTTGCAATTAAACATAAAAAAGTCAATTGGTTTTGAAATAGCTAAATATACGTCGTAGGCTAAACTAGAATAGAATGATTAGTAATTTAAATCGCTACTGACTCTCACTAATTTCATGGCATAAACATAGTGAAAAATAATATGAATATTAACTAAATAGACAATAAACCTTTTTTTATTTCTTCACAACTCTACAACAAATAATGTTTTTATGATGATCTGTCGAACAAAAAACTAGATTGTTTCAATAAGCATCCTGATTGTTGTAATATCCTCGTTTACCTAAACAAGAGACGTCGTTGATAGTGCCTTGACGATAAAGTTTTAACGCAGTGTTCATTGGTATTTCGTGTAAACCGATTAATTGTACATAAATGAGTTTATCAAGTGTAACAGACGAGTGCACCGCCAAAACATTCGTTGTCTATCATTCATCAATATTTCTATGAGCACATATAAGTTTATTGCTTTTATTTAAGTATTATCATTTTCGTCATCTTCTCCAATGTTTGAATATTTCTAACGTAGATCATCCTTTTACTGAAAATCAGATGTTTTATTGGACAAATTTATTATAGTTTGATCTAGGCGAAATTTTGATTAGTCTGAAAAAGGAATAGGGCAATCTTGGATTTGACTGACCATTCTAAATCAGGTCCAAGTTTAAACGAGGCAATTCTAGAATCCTAGATTGATTTACAACATATCTTTTTTTTTTGTAAGCCATGTGCTAAGATATAATCAAGAAAATCTTCTTTTGATAAAGCTAAGCATTTAAAATAGTTTACATAGATTATATTCGATTGATTGACCTTTCAATTATTTTGATATGTAAATTAATTTTCAATCATAAATTTACATTAAAGTTTAAAACGAAGATAAGAATGATGACAATCAAATTTTATGTTTGATAAAACCTATTAATGTTAAAACGACGAGATTTTTCGAAATAAATCTGTATATGAAGTTAATCAATCAATAATTCATTAGAATTCATTATTTATTGATATTGAATATCGGTTTTTGTACCATGAACAAGCAATTAATCTAATCACTCTTGATAAGAATATGCAAATTAAGATAATAGCCAATAATAGAATAATTCGAAAAGTAAATTCTATTTTTATTCGTTATCAGATATTAATCTTGATTTATTCAAAGTTATTGAATTTCGTCAAAATATTAATACGCATAAATGATAATACTTAAATAAAAGCAATAAACTTATATGTGCTCATAGAAATATTGATGAATGATAGACAACGAATGTTTTGGCGGTGCACTCGTCTGTTACACTTGATAAACTCATTTATGTACAATTAATCGGTTTACACGANTGTAATAAAATATAGAAGAGCATGTAAAGACAATGATAAATAAAGAATTACTTTGTCATTTCGTATTCCAATCGCTGCTCCCACAGCACTGCAATATCCACTATTATTGTTCTTCAGTCCCAGTTGAATGAGTGTCTATCAGAGAGTTCGAGGATCAATATGAGAAATACAGTAAAATCTCTATTACTGAACACCCCTCCTTAGTGATCAACCTGTGATACTAAACGCTCTCCAGTCCCCCCGAGCGATTTTTGCTGGTTTTGACCCCCTCCTTAATGAAACCCTCGCGATTCTGAAAGTGAACACTTTTTTATGGTCCCAACTGTATAATTTTCCTCTGTAATGTGAACATTATAGAGAGCGCCGTTAAAATTTGAATTAACACAATGTATCTCATTGGCTAGTTTTGTGATTGGCTTAGAGAGAAATAGAGAAAAAAAAATCATTTTCAACCTCGTCTATACACAATTGAATTACGTCTTGTCTGTTTATATGTTAACGTTTAATTATAAAATATGTCAACTCGTCATGAACTTTGTTTAGAACAAAAAATTAACCTTATAAAAGAGAAAGAAAATGGACTTTCTCATCGACTATTAAGTGAAAAATTTCATATTTCAATTGGAGCTGTTTCAAATATTTTAAAAAGAAAATTAGAATACACAAATGATTACGAATTGAACAGAAATAAAAAATAAAAAAAAAAAATTTTTTGCATGATCCCCCTCCTATATGATCACCCCATCATTATGAACGATTTAGGAAAGACCCAGTGGTGTTCAGAATAGAGAGGTTTTACTGTATCTGTTATTTTATTAAGTAAAGTTAAGCAACAAAAAAGAAAAGAAAGAAAAAAACAGTAAACAAACAACAGCTATTTCAGTATTATTCGATTATTCTTATGCGGAATAGCAAGCGCATAAATTATCTTTTCATAATCAATACAAAAATCTCTCTCAATTGCTAATAATGATAAATTACTGAGTCTATTGTCGGACATACTGTTATATGCAACAGTTTTAATGAGCTTCATTTTACTAAAATTTCTTTCTATTCTGGTTGATGGTACTGGAATTGCCATTGCACCGATAAGAAGTGGTAGAATGCTTGGAAACGCTTGTTTTAATGGTAAAACTTTATACAAGAAAAAAAAGACACATGTTTTAATAGTAATTATTAGATTTTTATTTTTTCTCGGTGGCCGGGCAGCGCTCGGCCTAGCCCACCTCTGGTTACGCCACTACTTCGATGGTATCACTGTATTTAGTAGTGCTTTTTTGTACAAAAAAACCTTGCTTTCAATAATCAGCTTGCCATTTCTGACGCTTTTAGTCTACTGTTATAGTGAAAAACAACAGTAGCTTTGACATCTTTATATTTTGCCATTTCAAAATCGATTACGATAATCCAAGGACACCTTTTTTCTCTGAATATTATAGAGAATTTAATGGCGTATCTTTAAAAGCAATCTAATTTTTATCATTTTTCTGTGGAAAGTAAATGAAAAATAGATATTATTTTCAATGTGTTTGTTATTTTCAATATAATGGGAAGTAGAAACCTTTTTTACATATTTTCTTTCAGTTTTCTAAAAATTCGTCAACAGAAGGCAATAGGATTTTTTGATACAGTTGTTTTAGAGGGCGCCGACAACGCATTTAAAAAAAATCATGATTTTAGCATTTGTGCATGCAAAGATACAAAATATACTTTGTTGATAACATTTTGGGGCATCCGGTTTAATTCATAATGAGATCCTAAAATTTTCTCAAATATTGAGCCTCCCCAAGCCTCCCCTTTCATTTCTTAGGGGAGGCTTGGCCTCCCCAAGCCTAATGGCTCCGTCGCCTCTGTAACCGCAATATTTATCAGTCTATTAACAGTTTTCTACATCAGTCATTTTTTGTTTTTAAGTTTCTTTTTAATAGTTGGCAACAAAATGTAAATAGATAGTCAGAGTTATTTGTCAAATCCTTGACATGTCAACAAATAAACCGATTTAAGAAAAATTTATTACACTTTACTCAATCTAGGATAATTTTAATTAGAGAGTTTTACAAAGTAATCGATATAAATACCAAATTAACCTGTATTAAGTAGTGATTGTCCATCAGATCCACCAATTGCATAAAGAAATCCATCAAGTACAGTAACAGCTATACCCAATCTTTTCGTGCCCATAGGTATTTTACGAGTCCATCGTTGAACTGATCGATCATATCTTTACAAAATGAGAAATAATAAATAAACAAAAAATTTCTTTTTTTTAGAAATCTAATTTACTTTTCAACAAGATTTAAACAAGAAATTCCATCTTGTCCACCAACAGCAAAAAGACAACCATCAAGTACAGCAACACCAACACTTATTCGACATGAACTCGTTGGTGCTACATCATTACTCCATTGATTTGTTTGAGGATCAAATCTTTAAAAAACAAATAAAAATAAAAAAGACTAAAAATCTTTTAAATAATAAACCGTTCAACACTGTTCAAATAACTAACACCATCATGACCACCAACACCATATAAAAGATTATTGAGTACAGCAACTTCAACTCCACATCTTCGTTTTGACATTGGTGCAACAGCTCGCCACTCATTCGTTGTTGGATCAAACATTTCAACACTTGCTATTGCATCACCAGAACACCAACCACCAACTATTTTTTAGACACAAAACAATAAAAATATTTTGTTGAAGAAAAAAACATTGTTTAAAATAAATTAACAAACCAGCAAAAAGAACTTCAGAAGATTTAATTGGTTTTCTTCGTCTTGTTCTTGGTCCTTGCATATTTAGTCGTTCTTGTGGTAATAATAAATAATCTTTAGCTTCATCAACTAAATCTCGACATGTTTGATCGGCTCTAATTAATGGATCTGAACTAACTGTATTAACAAGAAATCTAGCACTCATTAATGAAAATTGAACATGTTCTAATATCTAAACAAACTTTTCATTTATTCTATTTAATAAAAATTTAAAAAAAAAGAAAAAACTTACTTTAGGTAAATATTGTTTTCTTTGTTGAACATCACATGAAACCCATTGCATAACAGCATTAAAAACATCTTCACTTGTCATATTTAATTCATCACTTGGTATAATATCAATCAATTGATTTATTGGTAAAAATAAAAATTCTTCACTTTCTTTAACATCAATAAAATGTTGTTGTGTATAACGATCAGCAATGCGCAAAAGTTCTCGACATGAATGTGTATCCGTAAATGCTCGAATATCTAAACAATTTGTTGGATCACGTTGTTTTTGAAGAAATTCACAACATGTTATTTGAACTTCTTCAATCTAAATGAAATTAAAATATTTTAAAAAAAAATGCATTTTACAACATATTCAACAAGATAAAACTTCGTTTTTTTCTGCATCTTTAAATTCCGTGTTTCATGGGTGAAGAAACAAAACAAGATGTAATCGACTTTGGAGTCCGTTAAAGTTGATTTATGTATGCATAAGTACTTGCCAACTACTGTTAATCAGCTATTTAAAAAACAGTATTGTTACATTGTTAGTCTGGATATAAGATAAGATTTAATACACTTAATTACATTTAATTGAATTATTTTTATCTCTATCCATCTTATTTACAAGAAAACAAAAAGTATTGTTTTAGATGCATCTGATTATTTAAATAAATACAATAAGATGAGTCATTTGAATTCATTTTAGATTCACATCCAATGAGCTCAATTAAAAGTACGAGTTTGAGATGATCAATGCGTATCCAAGCGAGTTCTATATAGGGATGTGCACGCGACCAAAAAACATTTTCTGGTCCCGATCAAAGATTTGCATACAGTTTCGTCTACTTCTTTCTAAAATTATTGTTTCACTGCGCATTTTGTAGAAAAATGTTTACTCTTTCTGCCTATATATTTTAAAATACCTTAGATGTCTTCATTATCGATTAATTTAGCAAATCTTTGACCGGAACCAGAAAATTTTTTTTGGTTCCGTCCACATCTCTAGGTAGTTCAGATTTTATGAATGTTTCAATAATGGATATCGTAGTTATCTCATAATGGGACGTGTTTTTGAGTCTGAAAATCTCTTGTATAATTTCAATTGATCATCTTTCAGTTTTGTGAGATGTCTCCTTTCTTTAAGTTAAAAACTTGTTTATATTTCTGTTCGCTCAATAGAAATAGATATCGTTTCATTTTCCAGACTGCCTATTAATTCCATAACAGAAAGAAGCCGAACAGAATGTATTCAAGTATGTCCATTTCCTATTCACTAGTTTCTGAACAGCTGTCTCCCATTAATGTCCATGCGCGTATATTTTTTGGCTTATGAAAGAAACCCGATTGTTCATTGATAAAAAAGAAAACATATAGAACCTTTGGAATTAGATACATCAAAAAAAATCTTACAGTTATACAGCGTAAAAGAATGACCTAATCTATTCGCTGATTTACATTATTATTACATGCTCGTTCGAACAAGATGGGCTTCTATTCTGTGAAGGCATTTAGAGATTGACGCATCTTTACAATTACAGAGGAAAGAATTTCAATTTAACGTTTTAGTTTTTTTTCGGTTTTCAGCAAACTTCTTTCATTTCGATGTTCTACGTCTTTTGATATCTACTTAATTATGAAATAAGAATTTACGAAATAGTTTCTATAGAAATTTTCTGGGCATTAAAATTTTTTATTGACAGTATATAGTTGTTCGTAATGCAAGAATCAAATGGGTACAATATATTGGGTATTACTATTCAACAGATATAAACTAACAATAATATGTAAATAAGTAAGTTATGAATATGTTAACATCTTAGGTTATTCTACAATTTCATTATTGAAATGTTGACATTTTCGAAAAAGATAAAGTTTTTCTTTCCAGAAAATATTATTTCAAAAACAATGTAGAATAAATATTTCACAAAACGTTAAAGTGTTCGTTTTTTTTTATTATAATAAATTTTCTTACTTGAAGAATACAAGCTGCTGGTAATAACATTTGAATATTTTTTTCATCAACAACAATTCTTGAAGTATAACAATATTCAATTAACAATTCCATGGCATACTCATCAATATCACGAATAATTATTTCTGTTTGTCGACTTTCAGCTAATTCACCAGTAAACATTGCTTTAAAATAAGGACTATATGCTAAAGAAAAGAAATAAATTTTATTTGGAATTAAATCAATCCCTATACCAGAAAGAACAGCTCGATGACAGAGATATGCGATCCACGGGTTTCAACCCGCGGGACCACGTGGTGACGGGCGGGCGGGGGGATAAAAAGTTTAGAAATACTCGGGACGGGCGGGTACCGGTATTGTTCGACACACGGACGATCCGAGGCGGGTGAGATTGTGTAAAAAAAGGTCGGAGCTTCGGGCGGGCGGGGATTGATGTACACGGTTTCGGGCGGGTAAAGAATTTTTTTGGAGCTCGTAGAAGATCGTCAAAAATTACTGAGAGTTATCGTTTTTTGCCATATGCAGTTAGGAATACATACTGATTGGTTACTTATTTTCAGCCTGTTAACTACAAGCTAACTTGTTGCTTTTTTCTTTCTTTGGCCCCGTCTTTACTAGAAAAATAATAGTATTAAATTCTTATTCAATCTATTCAATCGATGTGCATCTACATTCGAAAGTTAGTGCATCAATCAGAGTCGCTGTCTTCGACATCATGTGTTGCTTTATTTAGTTTAATGATAGAGAAGTCGCCAATCGGAAATCACGTCGTTTTAATTAGTGACTCGAGTCGAGGTCTGATTCGTGCATTAACTTTAATACACTTTCGAAAAGTGTATTAAAGTTAATATAGTTTTGAAAAGTGTCATAAATGTGTTTTAACGCTTCAGCCAATCACATGTCGTAATACACTATTAACTTTTGTAGTGAAGACCAGGCCTTTCTTTATTCTTTCTCATATTGAACTTCGATAATCGGAGTTCGATTATTCTTTTGTATTAACGAGCGAAAAAAGAAACTAAAATTTATTTGTCTTTTAGGATTAATATTTGGAATTTATTCTCTCTTTTATCAAAAGTAATTGTTATGATTCGTTGGTCGTATGAATCATACAGGACAATGCAGCGAGTTGGAACGACCACAGAACGAAGAAAAAGATCCTTGATCAGTGGACTGGTGAACGATGACTAAGCGTTCATTTCTAAAGCTTAGATAATTCAACACACTTATGCATTATGTAATGCACACCTGTTTTGAAATAAAAACTTGATGTAGAAAAAAAGCAATATTAGGCTAGTTGTGAAAAAAATATATGTGTTGGGTGAATCAATTTTTTCGATTCATAGCTTATCCTAATAGTGGCTAAGTGCATAGCAACCTATGTGAAGATAGAGCAACGAATGGTTTTGGCGGTTGAGATCTTTTTTTAATTTCATACTTGGTTTAGCATGTCAGCTCGTTGTGGTATTTGTTTAAAAATCACAAGAAATTACAAACAACGTTTACGTTTAGTAACAAATGATGCCGAAGCTAAAATTCAATACGGTTATTATTCTCTTCATAAAAAGGACTTGAATAGAAATCTCTTGAATACAAAAGTTCATCAAAAATGTTATAGAAAATATCAGGATCGATGGTACAATCAATCAATTAGAAATAATAAATTAAGTAACGTTTCCACAGCTGTGGAAGATGAAGTTATATTAGTAGATGATGAAAATGATGTACCTGAAGAAAATTCGTCATTAAGCATTCATAATATCGATGATTGTAATGAAAATCATGGTGAACAAGATGATCATGTTAGTTCATGTAAATCTTTATTTTCAGCACGAAATATCTCAAATGAATCAACTTTTCAAAAGAATCAATCTGCACTGAGTGATATTTCAAATATCGATTATTCTTCACGCAATGAAATTAGTTGCAATACCCCAGTTCGCAATTCTGATACAGAAGATTTACCATTCAATAACATTAACAGTGAAGACAGTATACTCTGAAAGAAAAAAAGGAGTACTGCAGAACCTTTTTATGGTTCTGTAGCTCATGCAGAACCTTTTCAAGTTCTGTATGAAAGTACAGAACTATCAATAGTTCTGTCCAACAGTACTGAACTTTGGAAGGTTTAGGAAAAAGATTCAAAACCATCAAGAGTTCGGTGTCGAAGAATACTGAACCGAAAAGGTTTTGCACAATGACATTGAACCTAGTTAGGTTCTGTCAAAAAATGCTCAATTCTAAAAAAAGTTCTCTATTCAAAAATAGTGAAGCGGAAAATATTTTCACTTTTCTGCTCAATTCTTCAACGTGGTACAGTTCAAACGTGCTGCCATAAAAGGATTTGAGAGAAAAAATATGGTGCAAGATATATTCATTATGAAGTCTTTTTTCAACAAGTTGGCAGAAAAGATTTTTTCAAATGTAATTTAAGGTACATTCACTAGAACTATCTTATTGCATACTTTCTTCTTTCTTTTACTTTCCGATACGTTATTGTACTATAACGGCCGACTTTTTCAGTCGCTCGCGAATGCTTTTTGTACTTAAACCGTTGAGATGGCGTGAATTTTCTTTTCTTTTCAAGTAATTTTACTTTCTTTACATTGTTCACCTGTTCCCCATTTCCGGAAAAAGATTGAAACAAATCACCATCAAATCCACAACGCCTAACTAATATATGCTAAATCTGGTAAATAACTATAAAGGCAAATAATTCTATCATTCCTATTTAGTAATCCAAATGCTTTGATATAAATTTTCTCAAGTTTTTTCATTTACTCTCTTATTATTAATGTATCATAAGCCAAACCTCTACTGCTCCAGTTTTACAATACAAAAGTATACATATATTTTGATCAAATCAATCAACCCACCCGTTTACCGATTGAAAATGAAAACCATATACACTGTTCGTTTACAGCAATCATAGATTATGCTTAATACTACATTACGACTATCCAAACAATTCGACGACTCTAATGAAGCTCCGATAATATTGTTAAGTATCGCATGCGTCAGCTGTAAACGATTTGTTATCGTATTCTCGTTTTCTATCGTGTTTGTTCTAAAACACTTGTTAACGCCAACAAAAATAACCCATTCAATAAAACATCTAATACTATGAAATTCATCAACCATATCATGCGCAGTTAAAATATCCAGACATGTCGTTGAACTTCACATGTTACAAATAAGATAGAGAATTCAGTGAAATCCGTATGAATCCAAGGATATAGAACTAAACATGTAGTTTTACGAATACACAAATAACCGAATAGCCATAAGGAAGTCCATATAAAGCTATTAGTATACTGACATAAATAAAATGGTCAAGATATAAGAGTGTAGTCGTAAAGGCATACTCAAAATAAAAGAATTGCTATGGTATATATATAAAGGGTATAGATAAAGAGGTGTAGTTATAAGGTGCAGTATTAAGGATAGAGAAATA